CCTCGGGCTGTGCGTGGGTTTTTTTTGTGGGGGGGGGGAAGGGCTGACGGGAAGGGCGGAAGCGGCCTCGGGGTCCCGGCGGGGCCGTGGGAAGCGGGGCGGGGGATCCCCGGGGGAAGGGGGGGGGCACGCAGCGTGGGCAGCACCACGAGGTGAGGAGGGGCTGCAGTGCGCATGCGCTATGGCGATAGGGTGCCCCTCGGCTCCTTTCGGCACCTCTCGTTCCCACTCGGCTCCCTTCGGCCACCCCTCGGCTTTCTTCCTTCCCACTCGGCTCCCTTCGGCTACCCCTCGACTCCGCCCGTTCCCATTCGGCCGATCTCGGTTCCTCTCGTTCCGACTCGGCTCCCTTCAGCTGCCCCTCGGCTCCTTTCGATTCTCCTCGGCTCCCTTCGGCTACCCCTCGACTACTTTCGGTTCCCCTCGGCTCCTTTCGATTCTCCTCGGTTCCCTTCGGCTCCTTTCGATTCTCCTCGGTTCCCTTCGGCTACCCCTCGACTCCTTTCGTTTCCCTTCGACTCCCTTTGGTTCCCCTCGGCTCCTTTCGATTCTCCTCGACTCCTTTCGTTCCCACTCAGCTCCCTTCGGCTGTCCCTCAGCTCTTTTCGTTTCCCTTCGACTTATTTCGTTCTCTCTCGGCTCCCTTCGGCTCCCCCTCGACTCCGCCCGTTCCCATTCGGCCGATTTCGGCTCCTCTCGTTCTCACTCGGCTCCCTTCGGCTGCTCCTCGGCTCCTTTCGATTCTCCTCGGCTCTCTTCGGCTACCCCTCGACTCCTTTCGTTTCCCTTCGACTCTCTTTGGTTCTCCTCGGCTCCTTTCGATTCTCCTCGGTTCCTCTCATTCCGACTCGGCTCCCTTCGGCTCCCCCTCGACTCCGCCCGTTCCCATTCGGCCGATCTCGGCTCCTCTCGTTCCCACTCGGCTCCCTTCGGCTCTCCATGCCCCGCTGATGGCGGCGGGCCGCCGCTCACCGCCGGGGCCGTGCTGCCCGCCGCGGGTGGCGGTGCCCAGCGTGCACCAGAGCCTGCCCGAGATGGACTTCGAGCGGGGTGCGCGCCTCGGGGCGGGGGGGAGCTGAGAGCACCGGACCCTGCTCTGACCTCCCGCCGCCCGCAGGGATCTGGGCAGCGGCGCGGGACGGAGACGAGGCTCGGGTGCTGCAACTGCTGGAACGGCGCGGGGAGCCCAGCCAGCCCGACCTGGCGGGGTACACCGCCCTGGTACGGGGTATGCGGGGCAGCGGGAGGGCAGCGGGAGGGCAGCGGGAGGCCGCGAGCCCTCTGAGCTCACCGCTCCCCGCCATCCCGCAGCACTACGCCAGCCGCAACGGGCACCTGGGGGTGTGCCGCCTGCTGCTGCAGCGCGGTGCTCATTGCAACGCCCGCACGCCCGGCGGTGCCACCGCCCTGCACCGCGCCTGCTACTGCGGGCACGTGGCCGTGGCGCGGCTCCTGCTGGCACACGGCGCTGACCCCGCCGCCGCCGACGGGGACGGCCGCACCAGCCTGCATAAGGTGCGTGGTGGCCGCGAGGGGACGGTCCGCCCCTGATGGGATGGTCCCCGTTACCGTGGTGTTGGCGGCATCCCCACGGTGGGTCGCACGCAGGCGGCGGAGCGCGGTCACCGGGAGCTCTGCGTCCTCCTGCTGCAGAACAGCCCTGCCTTGCTGGCTGCTCGTGATGCTAAAGGACGGCGGCCCCGCGACACGGCCGACCCCGCGGTGTGGGATCTGCTGGAGGGATGAAAGGAGGCAGCGAGGACACCGCGGATGGAAGCAGAGGGAAACGGCCCCGCTGGGAAGAAAAAAAAAAAAAAGCAAAGCTCTGGGCCTGAATGCTGCGTCCGCCTCTTTGTCACTGCGCCTGGGGGGGGCGCAGGTCACCATGGGGGGGTGGCAAAAGGATGACGGTGGTGCCAAGGGTGGGGGACAGCGCTGGCCCAAAGTGCCACTGTAGGGGGAGAACCTCAATTTTTGTGCTGCCGGGACAGATGGGTGCTCCTCCAGCAGCACGTATTGCTTCAGAAAAATAGAGAGCTCAACAAAAAGCCCCAAAGAGCGAGCAACGGATCGGCAGTGCTGTGCTGAAGGAAGAAAGGCAGCACGGCGTCCCCACGGGGAGCAGCAGAGCGGGGGGAGCGCGGTGCTGACGGAAGGAACGCCGCGGGGAGCCGCCGAGGCCTCGCTCCGCCTCACCGCCCGCTCCGCTCTGCCGGGCGCGGCCTGGTCTCGCCTGGAGGAAGGAACGATGAAGCGCGGCTGTTGACCACGTCGGCCCCTCACTCCTCCCTCGGTGCCGCTCCGCGCGTACCGCCCCGAGACCGCAGCACCGTACCGACAGAATAAAGACGATACCGGACGGCCCACCGAGCGCTGCCGCTTTATACACAGCCGCGTCGCCTCCCGCCCAGCACCGCCACTTCCGCTTCCGCCTGCCGTCGCCATGGAAACGCCGGAAGTCAGCACTCGCCCCGCCCCTTTCCTCACCCTCTCCACCAATCGCCAGCCGTTTTGCTAGCTGTCCTCGTCGCAGCCAATCAGCCGGCTCGCTACTTCATGCCTCGCAACCAATCGGCGACCGCCACCCCCTCACCAGCGCGGCGCTGTAAACAACAGCTCGATGGGATTTAAAGGCGCCGCGCCCCATTCCGCCCGGTCCCATCCCCGAACTCGCCGAGCCCGACGCAAAGATAGAGAATTTTATTAACCAACCGGCAAAAAATAAAATAAAGTTCCATAATCCGTTCCACAACCCGGAGGGGAGGGGCGTGAGGCCACACAGGGCCCAGCATCCCCTCCCCGAATATACAAATCAAACCTGATGCGAAAATAAATACAGATTCTTGAGCTGGGGGTTGGGGGGGGGCTGGGGGGGATGGGTTTGCATAGAGGAAGATTTAATAAAAAAAAGGGTTTTCACCGTGGTTCATTATTATTAATTATTATTATTCCTAGCGTCTCCCCGCAGCAGAACCAGGCCCTGATCGTTGCGACGTGATTAACGCAATTAATTCCCCTTCTCCCAAATAACTTAACGGTGATCACCGGGGGATTGTGCTTTGTGGGGGCGGGGAGCAGTGATGGGGGGGGGGGGGA